GAGGAGATGGAGGAGATGGAGGAGATGGAGGAGATGGAGGAGGAGGAGGAGAAGGAGAAGAAAGAGGAGATGGAGGAGGAGGAGGTGATGCCACACCTGAGGCAGGAGCCTGTAGCAGCCTGGGAGGTCACTGTTGTTCACCAGGGTCAGCATCTGCTGATAAGGGTGTTTCAGAAAGCACCTTCCAAAGGTCATGGTGGGGTTGAGGACTCTCAGCTCTGGAACTACACATCTGAGCAGGGAGAGAGAGGAGCAAAAAGGGGATTAGAGACACCAAGAGAAGGCAGGATTTGTTTGCTCCTCAAGCAGTGGGAAATGGAGCAGAACACATTTGCCCAGCAGACACTGAACACCCCCCCAGCCATAAATCACCTTGAGCTTCTTTTTTGCCACCACAATCCCTTCTGAAGGAGGAGACTCAGCACCTCTGAGCCTGCCAAGTGCCCAGGCAGAGCTCCTGCTGCCCCTTCCAGAGCTGTGTCATGGGCACCTCTGCCTCAGGTGGCTCCCAAGGGCTTGAGCTGGAGCCTTCACCCAAGGAGCAGGGAACACAAGATTTCAGGGTCTCAGGAAAAAACCAACCCCTTCCTCTCCCCCAGCCCTGCCTGACAACCCAGCCCTGCTCCCTGTGATGGAGGGCACAGGCCCCCACCTGCCCTTCCCAGGGGGTGACCCCCATTCTGGAGCTACCTTAGACCTTCACCCCAGGAGTCCATGCCCTGTTTGTTCCCACCTGCACATGTCTGACCAACTCCCTGGCCTGGGAGAGGGAAACCACATCCCTCTTGGCATGAACCTGCCACCCACTGCAGCACCACAGGGTTGCAGCAGGGCCAGCTTTGGGCTGGAGAACATGAACCCTCCAAAAAAAACACCCCAGAGGGAAGCAGAGACACCTGAGCTCACCTCCCACATATCAAGGACTGGGTTGCCCTTTGTAAGGTCTTGCTTTTCTTTTCTCCCCCTCCCCAGCCCCACCACATGCCTTCACTCACTGCAGCAGCCACCAGCAGGTTCCTCACTGCCTCCCAGGTGAGTGTTGCACTCTGGTGGCCACCCAAGACCAGTCCCACCACTGGCAGGAAGGAGAGGTGGCCCTTTGGACACGTGTCCCACCAGCCAGCAGGCCAATCATGAGTAGAATTCCTGTTGCCTTCAGAAATCCAGGCTAATAATGACTAGCACGACTGTTCCCCACATCTGACCATGGAGCACAAGTGCTCCTCAACATGGGCTGCTCCCAAAACACTGCTCTGCTCCTCTCCACAGCTGCCAGAATGAGTCAGTTTGGAGCTGGAGGCACCCAAGGGGGTGCAGGAGGAGCTGATGAGCTGCAAGGAAAGCCCCAGTACCTGGCTATGATGGGCAATGCCAACACCTCCTTGCCAATCCCATCCAGGTCCACCACCAGGGCCAGCTCATATTGCTTCAGGGTGTTGGAGCACAGGGTGACCTGGCAGAGGAGAGACCATCAAACCATTCAGCACTCCAAAAAAAGTGGTTGGGAAAGATCTCCAAGTTCAACCTTCCACCCAGCACTGCCAAGTCCACCCCTAAACCCATCCTGCCCATCCATGCCCCACTACTGGTTTTGAACACTTGGCCTCCACTTCTCACTCCACAGAAGGGAAAGGGAGGATTTTGCCCTAATTCTTCTGCTGGTCCACGTGTCCAGAGGTGTCTCTGGGGGTCAGAAAAGTCTTCTGACAGGATCTACTTTGTTAAACACCCCCTGCAGTTCCCAGGGCAGGGGAAAGCTCAGTGAAAGCACCACCACATGTTCTACTCACCCAATGAAGGGACCAATTTTGAATCCCAGCTCCACCAGCCTAAATCCAGAGGGATGCTGTTGACTTGAACAGGTTCAGCTTTCCAGTGGGAAGCTGAGGGCAAAATGTGACCCAGCAGATGCTTTTCCAGTCCCCCCTGGAAGCTGCTGCAGGGAACACAGCTCCTTCTGCTCAGAGAGGAGTAACAAGGCCAGGAGGAACAGCAAACTGCTTCATGTGATGATGAAGTCTCTTCCTAACACCCTCATCCTTCCCCTGCCCACGTTCAAGCACATAAAGCACTTGAAGCAGCTCTCAAAAGCACAGGACTGGCTTCTCTACAGTAGAAGACCTTCAGCTGTTGACCTTGGGAACAAAAAGGTGCTCCTCCAGAAGCATCCTAGAGGAGCTCAGCCAACAAAGGCTACTGCTCAGATGGTCCTCATGTTATGCCAGCAGCAAAAAAGCCCTCTCAGATATCAGCCTGGAGAAGAGGAGGCTCAGGGAGGACCTTCTCACTCTCTACATCTACCTGAAGGGTTGTGCTCAGGTGGGGTTGGACTCTTCTCCCAGGCAAGCAGTGACAGGATGAGAGGGTCTGGCCTGGATCTGCTCCAGGGGAGGTTTAGGTTGGATATCAGGAAGCACTTCCCCATGGAAAGGGTGATCAGACCTTGGGATGGACTGCCCAGGGAAGGGGTGGAGGCACCATCCCTGGAGGTGCTCAAGGAAAGGCTGGAGGTGGCACTTGGAGATGTGGTGGTGTCAAGTCACTGGATCTGAGACTTGACCTCAGAGGTCTTTCCCAGCCTCAGGAACTCTGTGAAAGCTCCAGCTCCACTTGCTGGGCCACATCTTGGCCAAGCTCCTTCCATACCTGGATATCCAGGAATCCCTGGGAACGGATGGTCCCTCTCTGGGGCTTGATGGTGAACTCAGTTGGCCTGCCATGAGTTGGAGTTCTCCTCCTCCAGGTGCCACGGCTCTTGTCTGCCATCTGAACCAAACTGGTGACACTGGGCTTCCCAGAGCCATCCCCAGGGATGCGAAGGGTGAAGGTCATGGGCACCAGGGAGGTGTTGCTGAGGCGACAGGACAAGGTGTGAGGAAAGCCTGGGAGAAGGACACAGACCATCAGTGTAGGCACCAATTCCTGGGGGGAATACCCTGCCAGGACAAACCTGTGCTTGGAGTTGCACTCTCTTCCACCTGAATGGCAGCTGATGGAGAAGCCAAGCAAGGAAGTGGCACTTAAGTCCCCTTTTATGTTGCCCACAGAGGTTGCCCCCTTGGCAATGCCCACCAAGTTTCTCCCCCTACCCAAGAAGCTCCCTCACGTGGCCCCCAAACCACCACTCACTGACAAACAGGCACCCAAAAGGCCCATTTCTGCTGAAAACTTCAACCCCCCTGAGATGCCCTGACACCCCAGGAACTCTCCCCCCCCCATAGAAAAGTGTGGTCACCAAGGAGGAGCTTCAGGAGGAGAAAAGGATGGATGGAATCAGGAGCTGCAGCACCATGCAAAGCCCTCTGGAGCCTCCACAGGCAGGATCTCAGAGTGTTCTGGGCTGGATGGGACCTTGAAAGGTCACCTAGTCCAAGCTCCCTGCTGTGAGCAGGGACAGAGTCCTTATGGCACGTCCTGTTTTGGGGTAACCAGCCTGGAGGGACAATTTGCAGCCCCAAACCTGGTGCCTGTGGAGCATGAACCCTGTGTCACCTCACCCCACAACTGGGGACATCACACCCGTGTTGCTGTGGTCACCCCCTGCAAAGGTTTCCATGACTTGAGCTTGGACACCAGCCTTCCATCATGCACCAGTCCATGCCCAGTGACAGCCAACTACTCCAGCATGGAGGCAGGAGGGGTCCAGAAAGGACCACCAGACTCTTCACAGCCCCAAATGAGACCAGACACAGCCAAACAAGAGCCCAACTTCAAGGAGCAAACCCCCCCCAGGTGCCTTCAGCTGAGAAGGTCTCATTAACTAGAGACATGACCATCATCTTTCTGCCCTGTGGGTTTCTTCTGGGTTTATTTATCCCAAAGGAAACAAAGAAGTGGCAGAGCAGGGATGGAGGGAGGGGGAAAAAGCAGCTCAGGAAGGGTAATGAGTTCCCTGAAGAAGTCCAGGAACAGCAGGAAACCAGGGAGGCATCCTGGGCACAGGGTGATAATGGCCCTTCAGTCAACCCTCCATGGATTTCAGTTTCAACTTGAGATCCAAGGCAGGAAAAAGTCTTTGGGGAGGGGGAGATGAAGTACCAGCATCTGCATTTCCATGGGGAGGTTCTGGGTGCTCAGGCACCTGCTCTGCCAGCAGGGCTGGGCTTTTGGTGGGGCAGGAGAAGGAGCTCCTGGGGCGTATTAGCATAGAACCATCAAGGTTGGAAGGAACCTGGGAAGCTCCCCCAGCCCAACCCCCCTGCCAGAGCAGGGGCACCCAGAGCACATCACACAGGATCGAGGGGGGTTGGAATGTCTCCAGAGAAGGAGACTCCACAGCCTCTCTGGGCAGCCTGGCCCAGGGCTCTGTCACTCTCACAGCAAACAAGTTCTTCCTGAGATTCCCATGGAACCTCCTGGGCTCCAGTTTGCACCCACTGCCCCTTGTCCTGTCACTGGACATCACTGCACAAAGCCTGGCTCTGTCCTCCTGACACTGCCCTGAACAGATTTGTGCCCATGGATGAGGTGGCCCCTCAGTCTCCTCTTCTCCAAGCCCAACAGCCCCAGCTCCCTCAGCCTTTCCTCAGCAGGGAGATGTTCCCCTCCCTCCAGCATCTCTGTGCCTCTGCCCTGGGCTCT